GTGTATAGCAGTAATTGAAAAAGAAAAAGAAGAAGGTGCAGTAGGTGGTGCACCCAGAGAGCAACGAGAAATAAGATCTACTAGAGCAACAAAACCCTCTTACAAAGTCTAATATGGATGAAAGAAAATTGATTACGATTAACATAAATGGACTTAACTTAGCTACTAAAAGAAGAAAAGTATTTCATAAATTAGAGAAATTAAATATAAATATAATATAATATAAATATAATCTGCCTACAAGAAGTACATATTAAAAAACAACATGAATATATATTGAAGCAAAAAAAAAAATTAGGGAAATTATTCACGTCATTGACACAATGTAAAAAAAGAGGTGTGGTTTTATATATTAGAGATACAATTCTGGCAGAACCAATCTATACAGATGATGATGGAAGGATTCTGAAGTTGGAAATAATGGACAATAATGTAAAAACACTTTTAATAACAATTTATGCTCCAAATGATAATCAAGAAGAATTCTACAGAAAATTACATATGAAAATAATTGAACTGGACTATGTTAATATCTGTATGATGGAAGACTTCAATGGAATAATTAATGAGCAATTGGATTACAAAACACAGAAATCAATAAAGAAAATTAGAAAGACATTACCAAAATCCTTTTTTCAAATGATAGAGGAAACAAACTTAAAAGATACATGGAGAGAGAGAAATGTGGAAAACAAACAATATACTTTTTATTCAAATAGACATGCATCATGGTCTAGAATAGGTATGATATGGATGTCAGCAGAATTACTTTCTAATATACGAGAAATTGAAATAGAAACAAGTATTTGGCCAGACCATAATCCAATGACAGTTACTTGGAAAGGACAAAAGAGGAGATCTAGATGGATTTTAAATAATAAGATATTAAAGGAAAAAGCCTTTAAACAGAAAATTGAGAGAGAATTGGTTTTCTTTTTTAAAGAAAATTAAAAAGAGGAGACATCTTTACAGAATCTCTGGGACACGATGAAGGCCTACGCAAGAGGTTTGATAATAGAATACACAAAGAAAAGAAATATAAAACAGAAAAAGACTTTCAAAATACTGGAAGATGACTATAAAAGACTGGAAAAAGAATTACAGAAATTTCTGCAAAAAAAAAAAATTAAAATTAAAATGGACATAACTAAGCATGAAAATGGACATAAAATGGATATAACTTGGGACTAATGGAAAAAGAGGAATTAGCACAAAACATTAAAAATGCTAAACAGAATTACTTTGAAGATGCAAACAAACCAGGCAGATGGTTAGCTTATAAACTGAGAAAGGAAAGAAAAACAAGAAGGATTAGCCAATTAATAGATGAAGAAGGACATGTTTGCTATGTAAGTGAGGAGAAGAAAACTATACAAGACTATTATGGAAAACTGTATTATCAAGAGAATATTCAAGAAGAAAAAATTAAGCAATATTTACAGAAAGCAAAATTACCACAGATACCCAAAGATATTGAAACAATGTTAGAAGGGAACATAACGATGATGGAATTAACAGAAGCCTTAAAAAAACAAAATGTTGGAAAAGCACCAGGTACAGATGGATTGCCAGCAGAATTTTATAAGACTTTCCAGGAAATACTGAATCTTCAATTATTAGAAGTCATGAACGAAGTTATGTCAAAGAAAAGAATACCCCAAACATGGTCAGAATCATATATTACACTTATACCGAAGGAAGACCCAGACCCACAGCAAGTATAACAACTATAAATCTATTTCCCTATTAAATTCAGACCTTACAATTTTTGCTTCAATTCTAACAGAAAGATTGAAAAGATATTTAAATAACTTTATTCATGCTGATCAAAATGGATTTCTGCCAAAGAGACAAATTAAAGATAATATGAGAATAATTCTGCATACTTTGGAATATTATGAGGCACATCCTGAAAAGCAAATGGCCTTGATGTTTCTAGATGCTCAAAAAGCCTTTGACAACATGAGTTGGCAATTTATGTTATTGCAACTGGTACAGATGGGCTTTGGAAAAAAATTAATTCAAGCCATTGAACGATATATCATAAACAAACTGCAAAGGTTATGATAAATGGAGAATTCACAGAGTGTATAGATATAAGAAAACGGACTAGACAAGGTTGTCCACTGTCGCCTCTGCTGTTTGTGTTAACACTGGAAGTGCTGAATAGGAACATCAGAGAAGAAAAAGAAATAAAAGGAATGAAAATTAAAAAGGAAGAGTATAAATTGCAAGCCTTTGCAGATGACCTGGTATTTATATTAGAGGACCCATTGGAAACAGCACCCAAATTAAGTATGTATGGAAGAGTATGGAAAAGTATTAGGTTTGAAAATAAATAAGGATAAAACAAAGATATTAACAAAGAACATTAGCAAGACGAAAGAAGGAGTTGGAGGAAGTTTTAGAAATCCAGGTCACAAATAAGGTTAAGTATTTAGGGATACATATTACACCAAGATGTAGTACATTGAAGGAGGATAACTATCTTAAACTCAAACAATACATTGTGACAGACTTGGCAAAATGGGAAAATTTACAATTATTGATTGGGAGAATATCTACAATTAAGATGAATGTATTGCCAAGAATTTTATACTTATTCCAGACAATTCCAATTAGATTAGGGAAAGAGTTTTTTGAAGACTTAAATAAAATTGTGTTGAAATACATCTGGCAGGGCAAGAAAGCGAGAATAAAACTTAAACTGCTACAAGATGCAAGAATAAGGGGAGGGTTCGCTTTGCCCAACTGGGAATTATCATTTGACAAATCGGATGTGGGTAAAGGACTGGATAACATTAAGGAACGGTAGACTTTAGAGGGACATGACCTGTTGTTGGGATGGCATGCTTTCCTCTGGTATAAGGGAACTAAAACACAGGGGTATTTTAGAAGACATTATATTCAAGAGGCATTGTTTTAAATTGGGAGAAGATAAAAAAGCAATATTATTTAAAGATTCCATTATGGATATCTACCATTGAAGCTTTTTTTAATCCAATAATATATAAAAAGGAATAAACAGTGAGAGGGGGTTTCACATCATGTCATCTCTAGCCAGCGATGAAGATGACCAGGGAGCTGTGGGGGGGCAGCCGATGCTGCTACCGGAGGTGCCAGCCGCTGACCTGCTGGCCGACCTTACTCTGGAAGAAGTCCCAGCTGAGAGGCCCAGATGGCCATTGGGTGTTGGATGGAGGGATCCCGAAGACCCCCCCTCCTGGGATCACTGTAAGTCGAAGAGGTGCGAGGGAACGGCTGTGGCAAGAGAGGGAGGAGATGGAATGCAGGCTAGATCAAGCCGGACAACTCCTTTAGGATGCTTCTGAGAAGCCTCGCATGGCTCCAAGGTATGAGGGGGAAGGGGGAGCGAGTTCAGCCTGGGGAAGTCGGGCTGCCCCCACCCCCCTAGCCCAGCCTATGCCAGCGCAGCAGCCGGCTGCTGCCCGGGGGGGCAGTAATAGGTGTGATCCCAGGCAGACGCAACCTGCCCCCGTTAGACGTGAAGTTTGGAGGAAATCCCAAGGATTTGGGTTTCTTCCTGGCACAAGTCGGGAGCTATATGGAGGAATATGAAAGGGATTTCACCTCTGAAGCAGCCAAGGTGAGGTGTGTTACCAGGGCCCTGGAGGGGATGGCAGCAGACTGGATGGTGACTTTGTATAATGACAACTCCCCCCAACTGCGGAATCTCAATGTTTTCATGACTGCATTGAGAAGAAGGTTTGAGGACCCTCTAGCAGAGAGAAAGGCTAGGATCCGAATGAAAACCATAACTCAAGGGGGGAGATCAGTTGCTGACTACACCCAAGAGTTCAGACAGCTGGCATGCCACATCCAAGGCTGGTCCCAGGGGGCCCTGATAGAAGCCTACAAAGATGGCCTAAATGAAGATATATACCACATGTGCATCTCCAGAAGGGATCCATATGATCTGCAGTTGTGGTATTTGCTAGCAGAAGAGGTGGAAATAGATCTAACCCAAAGCAGACGCAGAGGAGGCCCCATATGGAGCAAACCGCTCCCTCCGAGAGGCCCCAAAACCTCGGAAAGGAGGAGTGATGGCAAGATCCAAATCCACTGCCTATTTTCATTGTGGGAAGGAGGGCCACCGGATTGCGGATTGCTGGGTCAAGCTGGATTCAAAGGGAGTGCAGGGGCCAGGGAGGAAGCCAGAAAACCCCCCAGCCAAGCCTCGCAAAACCGGGCTAAAGATAGGGGAGGTTGTAGAGGTCGCCCCTCCGGCGGGAGAGGAGCTGGGACCTCCGACCTTCCTCGATGAGAGCGAGACCGACTCGGAAGATGACGTCCCGGTAAGTCCTAACAAAGGGCCCATGACCATTCCAATAAAGTTAAGGGTGCTCACCTCAGGGACCGAGGGGGAGATGTTGGCCTTATTGGACTCGGGGTGCATGAGGTGTGTAATCAGCATGAAAGTAGTCAAGGGCATGGGCATCAGACTGAGGACTTTAAGAACACCCATATCCTTTTGCCAACTGGATGGATCTGTGTCGGGAGGTTGCCCTGCACGTTTTATAACGGAACCCCTAGAGATGACCATGGGAACCCATAGCAGTCTGACAGGGTCAAGGCAACAGGGTAGAGCTGAGCATCTACAGGCCTGCTGCCCTTTCTGATGTTTATGAGGAGTTCGCATAATGGAACTAATAGAAGCAATTAAGAGACAAAAAAATGGAAAAACACCAGGCCCTTATAGTCTACCAGCGGAACTTTACAAAGGTTTGCAAAATATCCTAAGTATACCAATGCTGGAAGGATTCAGTGAAGTACTCTTAGGTGTGAAAGTACCAAACTCATGGACAGAAGTATATTTTATGCTCATACCAAAAGAGGACTCAGGCGTTACAACAGGAGTTCACAGATGGATATTTCTACATAGATATTTCCATTTTAAACCTATCTACAGTAGAATGTTCAGGGATACATACTACATACTAAACAGTACCTAGTATAAATCCTGAGTTTCTTTCTCTCACCTTTTTGCTATAATGAACTGCTGCCTATTTCTTATATTGTCCTTTTTGGTGACACCTGAACCATCTTCTTTGTTCACAGGTTTCTTGTGTCCTCCCTTATCAATTTTGGCCCCTTGAAGTTCAGGTTGTTTATTCCCATAAAGCCCCAGAAAATTGAACTATTAACAGAATCAGAATGTATATGATCAAAAGTTAGCTTTAGGGAGAAGGAAAGGGTTATAAATGGGAAGAGGTAGGATTAGAGTTAACATCAGCATGTAACACCGACTACTGCTTTAGAGCAGGAACAAATTACACTGATAGCCAACTCCCAGCTTATTGTTTATGAACCCCACAACACATTTTCCTGCTTCAACTCAAAACTACAGTTTTCTAACCTAAGCTGTCTTCAGAGTAACTGGTTTCCAACATTTGGTTCTATTCTTGTAATAGCCCCAGCTCTGACTGGTTACAATGCTCAACATGCCCCTTCTGCTCCATCCTGGGCTGTTTTAAGGAAGCTGTTCTCTGCTGTTGACAATTGCTTGCCTTTTTTTAAAAAAACAATAGTCATGTGGTTGATCCAACAATGGCCTATTAAGTCAATGCACTATCTTTAACTTTAGGCACTCATACTGCATTCAACCCCAACACATAGTACAGCGAAACTTCGATTCCCTTCATTTTTCCATTCACATCTTTGAGTTTTTCAGACAGATATGACCTTGGCTCCATTACAAACTCAATACGTTCTCTTTACAGCTTGATTTAAGAAACAAACAGGGGCAGCACAGAAGTCAAATAGGCTAGCCCAGGGGTGGGATTCTCCTGGTTCAGACCAGTTTGGGCAAACCTCTTGTTCCAATGATCAGCTGGCTCTGAACCAGTTCTTTCCAATGAGCAGGTGGACCACCCCTGCTCTTTCTTGTGCTTTATGTCTTTTTATTAGAGCACAGTTGATCTGTGTGGCAAAGTGGTTTGCCATGCCTCAGCTGTTTTCTTCAGCTGCAGTTGAAAAGTATTAGGCTTTTTAAAATGTGGAGCATGTGCACATGCAAAATGTGCACTCACCAAACCGGTTGTTATACCGGTTGAATCTCACCCCATGCCTACAGCATGGAATTTCCTTCAGAATCAAGTCTGCCATTAGCTTGAATGACTTCAGATTGGTATACTTCCCAAGTCCAGCAGAGTCCTCACAGAGTTATTTTAGCAGAGAAAATTGGATGAGGAAGTAATTGCTATCCTACTTTTGAGCTCTGGAAGAAAGATGAATATAAATCTCACAAATAATGCTTGCCATTTCATTGAATTAAATGACTACCATATGCTACTGTCATTCTACAAATTATAACCCCAACCTGCTTCAAAGTTTGTGCCGCTAAAATACTGTGGTCAAATGAACAGGTAAAAATGTGATTGCAGGGAAGAATTCCTTTCTAAGTAAGACTGGAGCTTATGCACAGACAGAAGTAAGGTGCTTTGAATAGCAGTTTTGATAGCAACAAGGAATAAAAATAATTTACAAACAATCTAGGCAAAGAAAGTTTGGAAAGGTCATCCCTGGGCTGTTTAATATGACAAACAACCCCTTCCCTCAATATGATTTGTAGTAGAATGATTCAGCCCATGTGGCAAAGATTGGAGATGTCAATGCCTTCGTCTAGAAACTTCTCACCCTGTCCCTATCTTTTGCTTTGGGCTAGCAGCTTAGTACTTCGCATTGCTACCATCTGCCTTCCATGAGGACAAGGAGGAAATGTGTGAAAGTGGTGCCTCAGTACATGTATCACTGGATGTGTAAATGTTATAACTTTGCTGGGCCATGAAGCCTCAGTAAATCTGACTTTCGTATCATGGCATGAATATTTTTTTTCTTTTGTCTGTATTGTATAAATCAAATTACTTCTTGAAACTGCAAACTCTTTCCCTGCCTCATGCTGAACTTTTATTTCATTTCACTGGAGATGCTGCCCTCTGAACTCCTGGCCTTTCTCTCAATGAACTGAATGAATTAAATTCTTTAGAAGTTAACTAGTTCATGAGGATTTATCAAATCACATTCATTTGTAGGTTTTTCAAATGCATAAATCTGTTTAATAGCCTATAGTTTGTATAATTAGCAGCTATATTTGTAAGACATGATTAATTCAACATGTTTAATGGAATTAAGCTACTTTTGCATTTTTGGATAGTACATTTCAATTTAGTCCACCATCTACTACAAATCCAGTCACTTATGAATAGGAGAGAAATCCATGAAAAAATAGTTCTTTATCTTACATGATCTTCTATTTCTTTAACCCCTGAGAATTCTGAAATGAAAATTGTGTCACATGTTATGAAAGAAAAGTCACCTCCTCAAGACAGTTACAATAAAGATAGTTCCTTCCGCTGTGTCAGTTTCTCACATCAATGAAAAGTTATTGTTTTGAATAGCAGCTATTAATTCTCTCCACTCCTTGCCTTTTCTTGGTGCAGTGTAAATATCCTTCATGTATCTTTTGTGGATGGTACAAAAAAGTGGGACTGCAGTTCTAGTCCCCAGTCTTGTGCTTCCTGTTGTAGCCTTGGCTGTTCTTAGATGCAATTTACTGAGGGACTGTTCTACAAATGCTGTTGAATGTATATCTCTGCACAAAAGAAAAAAAAATAGAAATCAAATAGAAAGGTGTAATTTAATCGAAACATGAAAGAGAAAAGAAACAGTCAAAGAAATGGAAAACTTTTATTCCTTTCAGCTATTGAAGAGTAACACAGAACTTTATCATTATCTCTATTATGTTAGGAATATCTTAATTTACGGTGAGTGTATTGTCAGAATAATTGTAGTAGTTATTTAAAGAGTTTCATTGCAATGGAACCATCAAAGTATTACTGGTTTCATGTAATCTGCTAGGACAGAGTTCGCCAACCTTTCCTGCTCTGGGGACTGGTCAGGGGTGGGATTGAAATTTCTTAACAACTGGTTCTGTGGGCGTGGCCTAATTTGTGGGCATGGCTTGGTGGTCATGGCCAACTCGATGTCACTCACATGGAGGGACTTCTCCATGGAGCCTGACTTCTCCTTACCCCTCCCGGCTTTTCCTCACCCCTCCCTTCCCAGCCAGTCCTTACTTCGACTTTCATGTTATGGTGAGAGAGGAAGCTTTTTCAAAGTCATCTTCCCTTTGATACTAGCCAATAAGATGAGATGTTGCTATCAGAAGACCTGATGGGCATTTCCAAATATTGTTTATCATCATTCTCTTGGAAAGACTGAGTGGAGAAATTTATAAAGAATAACAGAGTTGGAAGAGACCTTGGTGGTTTTCTAGTCCAACCCCTGCTGAAGCATGAGACTCTATACTATTATGGACAAATTTCTTCTTAAAAACCTCCAGTGATGGCATACCCACAATTTCTGAAGGCATCCCACTTCTCTGATTAATTGTTCTCACTGTCAGGAAATTTCTTCTTGTTTCTAGGTTGGATCTGTTTTGATAAGTTTCCATCTCACAGTTACTTCCAGTTGAGCCAGGCACTACCTATTCTATATATTTTTTCTTGCCTGTGTAAAATCTTACTTTACTCTCCATTAAATATTTAAATTGTTCTACAGTGGTATTCAGTTTACTACAATGATTTTTGCAAAATTCATTAAAGCTTGAAGAATACATCTCTGCTTATACTGATAAAGATTATTATTTTTGAATATTAAAGCATACAGTCAAGCAAATATTTCCAATCCTACAATTGAAAACACATTTGAAAGGTATTTTCAAAGCAGTCAGTGGATGTCTTAACATTCTTTCTCTTCTCCTTTAATTAAATCTTTCTGCTTTATATATTTTTTTTCTTTGGCCTTATTGCAATATTCCAAAATTTTCACAGATCCTTCACAAAGAACCATTTCTAATTTAACTAGAATACAAAACAATCTTTCTGGTCTGGAATTCCTTGACTCACACTCACACTCCTCAACTCCTCAACACTTCTCAATGTTTCCTTTCCTTTCTGTTACGTACTTGTCTTTTACTGCTCTTTTCAAATTAACCCTCCCCTGATGCCTACACCTGCATTTAATTCAGGTAAACCCAAAAGACAATACTTCTTTCCTAAGTTGTCAAAATGGAAAGTGTTCCAAAGGGAATTACTTAGGAGGGTGATATTAGCAATTCATAAATATAATTATCTTGCTCTCAGAAAAGATGGGGACTTAACAAACTATTTAAGCAATGCATGATTAACTGCATAGCACCAAAAAGGCAGATGAGTTGCTCATTGAGACCAATAGTGATACAAGCAAAAAATCAGTCTTGTTAGGAAAGGCTGTCTAATAAAAACATACCCAGGTCTTCTCTTGTTATAAAATCATCCTGGACAGCTGTGGAGCTTACTCCCCTCCCTCTTTTGGGAAGATTTACAAACTACTTCCAGCCAGGTTCGCCCTGCAGCCTCGCCCATCCCCACTGGCAGCTCTTGCCTGGGTAGCGGTTTGGCTTTACCTTGCCCAACCTTTCTCCTCCAGCAGCTGGTGGCAGAGGGGAAGGCCACCCCCCTCAGCTCCAGCAATGCCCTGTGTGCCAAGTCCCAATCTGGAGCTCTCCATACCTGGGGGAGGGTGGTAGTGGTCGCATGCTCCAGTTGTTTTCATCGGTGAGAGGGGCTACAGAGCCTCTCTCGCTGATGGGAAGGCTCTTTCCGAGAGTCCCGGAACTTCCCGGCAGTGGAGAGTTTTGTTGGCCAGATCCAGCCACAGCAGCACCAGGGGAAGAAGGAGATCATTCCCTCCTCCAAAGGAGACCTTTCCTTCCTTCCCAGCCAGCCCGGACACAGCCGCATGGCTTCTCCCTGGCCGTGGAAAAGGGGAGATCACTCCTGTTAAGTCCTGAGCATGGGCGCAAGGAACGGAGACGAGGCATTGAACTGTGACTCCAACTCTTTATTAGTGACTTCAGAACAGAGCAAAATACTTGGGCAGCAGCAGCTCTTTTATAGAGCTGGCTGCTGTCAAAACAACCAATGATTTGAGTTTTCCGCTCTAAGAAGCGTCCAATCAGAGGCGACCCGCTGTCAGCCAATCAGATCAGCCAGAAATGACCAATCACGACTCGCTATTCACGGGCCAATCAGAAGTGCAGGATTACGAGCCTGCTGTTGAAGTAAAACTATTAGGGTTGTTAATGAACGCGTTAGCTTAGTTCGTAACACCCCTCCCCCCTAGGTTCCGTCTTGGGGGTGGGGTGACATATTCTCACAAGTAGGCAGGTCGCTTCACCTGTCTGCTTGACCTGCGCTGTTCTACCAGTTTCTCTGGTTCCGGTGGGCTGCTTGCTGAGCTGGATGAAGACGGTCCCGCTGCTCCGTTGTGTGACTCGGGGCTGTCCTCGCCGCTCTCGCCAATGCTGTCATCGGGGTTCCTTGGATTCGCTTGCATTGCGGTGCTGCTACGTGGTGAGGCAATCACCCGGTTCGGTTCTCCTTCTGGAGGTGAGTATCCCATGGTTGTTTGTGTAGGCTGCTGAGTTCCAATTGTTAGGTCGTCTGCTATTTCTTCTTCGGCCTCCTCGATGTCCCTTCCCCCCCCCCCGGTTTGAGATTCAGGGGACGAGATGGGCCTAGGTGCCAGTCTGGAGCGAAGCTGGTCTATGTGGTGCTTCCATAATTTTCCATCATCAGTTTGCAAACGGTAGGATCTGGGCCCGGTGAGTTGAGTTATGGTAGCAGGGACCCACAGTGGGTCACCTGAGAAATTTTTTGCAAAGACTAAGTCGCCTACCTTGAACGCACGACACTTGCTGCTGGACCCCAAGGGCTTTTCTGGCATATAGGTAGGGTGTAGGCAATCAAGGTGTGAGCGAAGTTTCCGGCCCATCAGGAGTTCGGCCGGAGTTCTGTTTGTGGTGCTGTGTAGGGTGATGTGCTGGAGGAGAAGCATTCTGGTTATCTTGTCGTCAATGCCCCCATGTTCCATTTTGTGTAAAGTCTTCTTCACGAATTGGACCATTCGCTCAGCCCTGCCGTTGGCCGCAGGGTGAGCCAGCGATGTTAAAGCATGGCGGATGCCCCTGTCTGCTAGATACTGTTCAAATGCCAGGGCAGTGAACTGGGGCCCGTTATCTGAGACTAAAACGTCCAGCAATCCGTGCGTAGCAAATAATTTATTCAATTTTTTAATGACTGCTTCTGTGGTGGTGCTCTTCATTTTGTGGACCTCGAGCCAGTTGGAATAGGCATCCACTGTTATAAGAAAGGTGTGCCCTTTTGTGGATCCCGCAAAATCGATGTGGATGCGGGACCAGGGACCGCGAGGTGCTTCCCACTCAGTTGGAGTTGCTTTTGGTGGGGCAGTGCGAATTTCTTGGCACTTGCTACATGTGGCCACCCAGGCTTCTATCTGCTTATCTATACCTGGCCACCACGCGTAGCTTCTTGCCAGTGCCTTCATTTGCACGATGCCTGGATGGCCATCGTGCAATAGTTTTAAAACTTTATGTTGTAGCTTCTCTGGGATGACGACTCTGTCACCCCACAAAATGCAGCTCTTTTGAGAGAATAGTTCTGTCTGCCAATGTTTGAAAGGCGCAAAGGTGTCGTTGAATTCGTTGTCAGGCCAACCTCGTTCCACCCAGCTGAGGACTCGTGCCAGCTGAGGACTTGTTTCTGTGGCGATGTCTCGTGCAGTCAGCGGTGGTGAGGGAAGAGTTTCAATTTGGAGTGCAGTTAGGGTTGGAGCTGGATTGTCGATGGCTTCAGGTAGCGGGGAACGACTCAAGGCGTCAGCGTGGGGAATGGCTTTCCCCGGGCGGTGTCGCAGTTGATAATCGTATGCGGCTAGAAACTCTGACCAACGTGTCATTCTTGGCGATAAAATGTGGGGAGTTGGTTTGTCTCCCGCTAAAATGCCAAGCGATGGTTTGTGATCGGTGATTATGGCAAATGGTCTTCCATATACATACTCATGGAAACGCTTAATGGCAGACACAAGAGCGAGAGCCTCTTTATCGAGTTGGCTATAGTTTCTTTCAGTCTTTGATAAGGTCCTTGAGAAAAAAGCAATAGGTGCCTCATTGCCGTTTGGCAGGACGTGGCTCAAGATGGCTCCCACTCCAAACGGTGAGGCATCGCAGGTGACAGTTAAAGGCAAAGTCTCGTTATACTGCATTAATACAGCATTTGAGGTTGTCTTTTACTTGTTGGAATGCTCGTTCTTCCCGATGTCCCCAGACCTAGGAAGCCTTCTTGTCGAGTAGCCTGTGTAGGGGCTCAGCTACGGTCGCCTTCTGGGGCAAGAAGATGTTATAAAAGTTAATGAGTCCCAGGAAGGCTTGGAGGTCTGTCTTATTTCTAGGTCTTGGGGCGTTTTTGATTGCAGTTAGTTTTTTTTTCCGGTGGGATGGATTCCCTGTCTGTCAAGAAGGTATCCAAGGAACTCCACCCTCTCCATGCAAAGTTGACACTTGTCTTTTTTTACCTTCAGGCCAGTGTCTTTGAATTTTTGGAGAACCATTCTGAGTCGTTTTTCTAATACTTCTCTAGTAGGGGCAGCTATTAAGACGTCATCAAAATAAGGCACGACCCCTTTTATGCCTTGTAATAGTCTTTCCATCAGACTTTGGAAAATGCCCGGTGCCACGCTTACTCCGAATTGGAGTCTATTGCACTTAAAGGCACCCCTGTGGGTGACTATAGTCTGGGCTTCTGCAGTCTTCGCATCTACGGGTAGCTGTTGGTACGCCTGAGCTAAGTCCAATTTCGCAAATATTTTTCCGCCACCCAGGGAGTGAAGAAGGTGTTGGACCACGGGTACCGGGTAAGCGCTCTGCTGAAGCGCATGATTTAGGGTGGCCCGGTAATCCCCACAAATTCTTAATGATCTATCTGGCTTTATGGGTGTTACTATTGGGGTCTCCCATTGGGCGTGGTCAATCGGTTCCAACACACCCTGGGCTATTAATTTGTCCAGTTGCTCGTCAATCTTTGGCTTTAGTGCAAAAGGCACCCAATGAGGCTTAAGGCGAATAGGAGCTACATCGGGACTGAGATTAAATGATATAGGGGTCCCCTTGTACTTGCCTAGCTTCTCTGTGAAAACGTCCTGGAATTCCTGGACGAGGGCCTCTTCCCAGTCATTGCTTCCGGTTTGGTGGATGCCAGCTAGTTCAATTCTGAGTGGGGCGAACCACTGTAAACTTAGCAAACTGGGCCGGTCACGATCGACGACGGTCAGAGGTAGCGATGGTGGTGCGGTCCTTGAAGGATACTTGGATGTGGCTGGAGCTGACAACCGGAATTCTGTTTCCTTGGTAGTCCTTTAGTATGATTTTTTGAGTGCTGAGGTCCTGGCGACGGATGGCAGGGATCAGCTGTTTGAGGGTTTTCCAGGAGACCATCGATAGGGACGACCCCGAGTCGACTTCCATCACGCAAGGTCGATTCTTAATAGCGACCTTTACTCGGATCTTCCTTGCATCCAGGGACGAAGCGTGGCCGATAGTGATGGTTTGGTGTGCCTCTTCTCGTCTAGTTGAAGTGGTAGGTGCTCGATTTCTGTAGTAGTGGTTGTTCCATTGGTGGTTCAGGCAGTCCCGATTTACAGGTGGGTTGCCTGTAGCCTGGCGGAGATTATTCTCCCTCCTGAGTGGACTGGACCCTCGCTTGCTTCTGCAGACCTTTGCGATGTGGCCTCTCTTTCCACAGGAGCGGCAGAGTGCGTCGAGGAATTTGCAGTCTGATCGCGGGTGGTTTGCACCGCAACCAGCGCATTGGCGCGGGAGTCTTTGGTTCCGTTGGTCTCATTGGTCGCGTTCGGACCGGAGTTGGTTGACCTCCTCTTCCTCGCTGTCTGATGAGGATTCAAGGTCTTCATGATGGGCGGTAGTAGTGTGCTTCTCAGAGGAAGGCGTACTGTCCCTAGCGAGTTGGCGGTGCGGTGCGTTCGCTCGGTGCATTCGAGCGGCTGACTTCCTGGTTGCTTCTGCTGCAGTAGAGTCGGCGATGACATCTGCGAGGCTGATGTCTCCCTTTGCCATAATCTTGCTCTGTATCGTGTGGTCATCTAATCCCAGAACTATTCAGTCTCTCATGGCTTCCTCGAGGTTTGCGAAACCACATAGTCCACCCAGGTTCCGGAGGTCTGCGATGAAGTCTCCAACACTCTCATTTTTCCGTTGGTCCCTCTGGTAAAACTCGTGTCTTTGGATGAGTGTTGGCACCGTGGGTGCATAATGGGCCCGGAGGATCGGCGCGAGGTTATCCCAATCCATTGTCTTCACCTCCACGGGTTTTGCAAGCGCCTTAGCCATTTTAAAAACGGCGGGCCCGCAATGGGTCAGGAATACCGCTCGTTTCTTGCCAGGCATAGCATCTTTCAGATTGTTGGTCTCCAGGAACATCTGGAACCGGTCCATACACGAGTCCCAGTCTTCGTTTGCCGGGTCAAATGGAGCGGGTGGTATGGCGCCGCTGGTCATCCTGCCGTTTGTTGCTTGCGCTCTCAGCCACGTGCTCTGTATTGTTCGATGAGTGCTCAGTCAGCTCTATCATCTCCGTATCCCATCCTTGTCGCCAGTGTTAAGTCCTGAGCATGGGCGCAAGGAACGGAGACGAGGCATTGAACTGTGACTCCAACTCTTTATTAGTGACTTCAGAACAGAGCAAAATACTTGGGCAGCAGCAGCTCTTTTATAGAGCTGGCTGCTGTCAAAACAACCAATGATTTGAGTTTACCGCTCTAAGAAGCGTCCAATCAGAGGCGACCCACTGTCAGCCAATCAGATCAGCCAGAAATGAACAATCACGACTCGCTATTCACGGGCCAATCAGAAGTGCAGGATTACGAGCCTGCTGTTGAAGTAAAACTATTAGGGTTGTTAATGAACGCGTTAGCTTAGTTCGTAACAACTCCCTCCTCCCAAGGAGATCTTCCTTCCTTTCCAGCCAGCCCGGACACGGCCATGTGGTGGTGGTGGCAGCTAACTATCTAGGTCATGGTGAAGCAAGCCAGGTAAGCCCGGGGAGGGGTGGGTGGGGATACAGCACAGCAGCCTAAATCAGCCCGGGAGTCGACTTGACCAGGGTGGGGCTTGCTTGTAGGCTCACTCACCCAGGGAGATCAGGTCAGTGGGAGAAGGCAGACAGCAATGGCGGGCAAAGACAGGTTAGCAATGGTCGACAAGATGAGGAATGACTGGACAGGGTGAATGGGTGGGCCAGGCTGGCACGATTTACCGGTTCTCCAAACTGCACAGACTCATAACCACCGGTTCTATAGAACCAGATGGAACCGGTAGAATCCCACCCCTGATCACATCTGATACCTGTACAATTAGCACAGGGCCTCTCCAAGGCTGTTCTTTCTCCACTTCTCTTCTCCCTATATACCAATGACTACATCTCAAATGATCCATCTGTTAAAATATGAAGTTTGCAGAGGATACAGCAGTGATTGGTCTCATTCAAGACAATGACAAATCCACATACAGATGGGAGGTTGTACAACTT